CAACAGGCAGATCGGATGATAGTTGCAAATGTTGTGGATGTCTGCCTTCTTGTACAGTAGTATAGTTCTGCTGGTTTTCCATTGGGATGGAAACTTGCATTCAGACAGGTAGTGTGTGAAGTGCTGAGCTAATGTATTGATGAGTACTGATGGCAGGTTCTTCAGGTGTTTGGGTCTCACCTTGTCTGGGCCGGGTGCTGTTCACTTCTTTACCAACAAAATGGCCTGTCAGATTTCGGTAGGGAGAATGTTGGGAACGACATATCCATCCTGCAGAATTTGGTATGTGGGCAGGTGGACGTGGCTATCAAAGAGATCCAAATAGAAGTATGGATAATCTCCTCCATTGCCCTTCTGGAGAATGTGATAGATCCATCTGGACGTTGGAGGGCAGTCATCTTGGTCTTCTAGTTGGCAAAGGCTTTTCCCGGTTTCTGGCACATATGCCAGCTCTGCTGCTCTTCTCTCTTTGTAGTCTTCCTTGATCACTTCTCTGCATTGCTTTGCAAGCTTGGACATTAGCTTGTGGTTGCCTGACTCTTGCGCCAAGCCACGTTGGCAAATGAGCTCGAGAGTTTTCAAAGACAGGCATCTTTTTGTGGCTATCTCTCTCTTGGCATTTCTCGCACAATCATGGAGGTGCTGAACCAGTCGATTGTATTCCTCGTCAATGTTGTCAATGATGGCATCTTCCCATGTTTCCGCAATAGTGCCAAAGAGCTCCCAGTTCGTGGTTGTTCTGGAAGTTCTCTTCTTAAACTTTGCAGCCCTTTCTCACTGCTCTGTGAACTAGAATTTTGCATGAAGGAGACGGTGGTCTGATCCCATTTGGAATTTTAGGACAACAGCGACATTGGTCAGGCAAAACCGTCGATTGAATAAGATGTGCTCAATTTCATTGTGGAACCATCCACCGGGAGACTCCCATATCCAACGTTCATATTTGGCCTTCTGGAATTGTGAGTTACCATGGATAGTCTTGGTCGACAAGATGAATGCAGACAGTCTCTCACCCTGTTGGTTCCATTCTAGGCCATAGGTCCTGATATGGAGTTCTTCGGCTGACCATCTCAGTCCTATCTTGGCATTAAAATCACCGACAATGATCTTGTAGGAAGTGTGGTATTTTTATAGAACTTCTCCAGCTTCATGTAGAACTTCTCAATTTCTCCTTCATCATAATTGGATGTTGGTGTGTAGACAACAAAGATAGAAACTGCCGGCAGTGAGCTGCATCTATTCAAGTGTGATCGTCCAATTCGGGTTGTTAGGCATTCGAACGACTCAATGCTTATGGCCAAGTTTGTGTTGACAAAGACACCGACACCACCGATGCCTGTTTTGTTGCATGTTCCGAGGAACAGTTCTTCTCCAGTGTTGAAAACGGAGTGATGTGATTGATGCCATCTCATCTCAGTCAGACCAATGATGTCGTACTTGATCTTTTGAGCTTGTACCATAAGGTCTTCAATGAATGGATCCCATGCTAGCATACCTGCATTGAAAGTACAGACAGTCATTTTTGTCCTTCTTTGTTTTGGCAACCTAGTTCAGCCTTGAGATTTTATCACCCTCTCCTTCCTCATCCTTCTTAATGCTGCTGTATTGGTGGCTCTTTTAGGGTCAGGGAAAAGCAGAACTCTGTGACCTTGGACTCCAGGATCAACGGACCCGGACCCAGGAACAGAGAACCTCTGCCTGCTCCCACCCATATCCAGGGACCAAGGGATTAAAACCAGAAGGCCCACCCTACCCTGCCTTGTCTGCTTCCACCAATGGCTGGCGACCCAGGGATTACACACAGAAGACCCACCCTACCAGATAAAAACCTCATCTGCAGACCTCCACTACCACCACTACACCCCATCACCACCACACTTCAGGATGTTTTCTGGACCACGCGGTCACGCGACACATCATAAGACACTTAATACAAAATTACCGCACCATATTTGATAGGATTCAAATATGGTTTGAACCTTGGGAACACCTACAGGGGCGATTAGAGGCCACCCTAAAAGCCTCTATCCCTCTCGGAGAGCCTGGAAAGCTATCGAGAATATCCAGCCCGGACAGCAGAGCCAGTCAAGCTTTCCATGGCGCATTTAATATGCCAAAACCAGTAAATGTCAACAATAATTTTTCAAAATTTAACATACTTCGCTATAATAAATTTCAGCAATGTGGAATTGAGTCAAAGTTACTTATGCAGGTAAACTACATCTACCCCAACCTACTTCAAGCAATATAATGGTAGCATAGTAGAAATAATTTTGGATATGGGGGTTGGGCTAAACCTGGCTTTGCTCTGGATGTACTCCTAGTTCTGTGCAGAGATCACTCTTAGTGGTGCTCAGAGGATCAAACTATAGTCAGCGTGTTCAGGGCATTTGCCTTAATTTTAGCTATATTATCGCTCTATCCCGAGAATCATTTAAAAATTTACCACTTCTTTGATTCAAACAATTCTCCAGGAATGCATAGAAAAGTACATAAACATAAATATAAATATTGAAAAGATCAAATCAAATTTTCTAATGAAAATTTAGCTAATTTATAGGATTAATATCAAAGAAGTGATTCTTTACTTCAAGAAAAATGTATTATAATTTTTTTTACAAAAATGTCAAGGCACTTAGGACTATAGGCAACAAAAAACAAAACTATCTTGGGGATAGCATCATAATATATTCTCGAAATATCTGTGCACATCTTGAATGAAGGAAGAGAAATCTCCTGTACATGGAAACCAATTTAATTGTGAGACTGATAATGGTCTCTCACTACATGTGGGAAGGTAATTTAAGTTCAATAATGCCAATTTTTATTTCCCTAAGTTATTTGAAAGCTGATTTTGAAATATACGTGTATATAATATGTACATATATGTATATGTATATATATATATGTGTGTATAACCAAAGGTTAAGATTTTACTAAGACAGTTTAAAAGATTGAAGACTTGCTCTTCCAAATATAAAGTCATAGAAAGCTAAAGTAATACAGAAAATGTACTGTTGACACCAGAATTGATTTATAGACCATTCAAGCACAAAATTCAAAAAAAGTTTCTTCCATATTAGAGAACAATATATTGCTGAGGTGGCATAATGAGCCGTTTTTCAGATGATGTATTATTTAATAAGTTATGATTGTAATGTTAGTAGAAAATAGATAAACTAGACTTATCTATTATTTTATTCATAAAAAATAATCCCTGGGGAACTATAGGCCCCAGTATACCAGCAGCATATTGAAACCTTTGAAATAAAATGAATAGAAAAATGTAAAATGCCTATGAACTAAAATTTTATGGATAAAAAAACATGAGTCACCAAGAAAAGCAGGGGCTGAAGGGGTGGTACAGCTTAAAGGGCTCTTACCTTGCACTCTAACTTGGGTTACACTTGTTACCTTTTTGCTTGCTACCTCTCTTACTTTGTACTCAGCTGACCTATTAGATCCCTGGCACCTGGATGATCCCCCTAGCACTTCCAGGAGTGATTTCTGAGAACAGAGCTTGCGGCTCTGTTCTGTAAGCCCTGAGAACAGGTGCTTGTGGCCCTCAAACAAACAAAAAATGTATAACCAAGGTAAGGAGTTGTTTTGTGTTAATATTTCCACATAACAAAGAAAACACAAGAAAGTCAAGCATAACTATACTATAAAACATAACTTGTAATACGCTTCCCTGTTAAGGGATTAACAGTCAGAATTTATAAATAACATCTACAGAGCAAACAAGGGAAATTGAGTAAAGATTATGAATTCACATGAAAAAGGGGAAATTGAATGGTCAATAGGCATTAAACATTTATGAATACTCAAGGACATATAGATTAACACAGTTATATCCAATTTGGGGAGCAATATTTAAACATTTCCGTAATTTCCAAATACGGTTGAAGGCATAGACTAGATAAATGCTCATACAGTTCCTGTGGGAATTTAAATTTGTACTAACCTTTTCAAAAGCTTTATAAAAATATCATATGTATATATATTGCTGAATATGCTTATACTCTGTCATCCAAGAATTTCACATTACATACATGTATATGTTATATCTAGATCTAAATATGGACATCCTGTGCATTTCAAGTTTCTAAAGCATCACATACCTAACATATGTATGTAGAATTACTGTTCCGTTGCTTTCCCCTATAATTGGAATACACTGTTATGTTCTTTATTCCTCAATCCTATATATATGGCTCCAAGGAACCCTAGGTAGCTGCTTTGGAGCATTTTCATTGCTATCATAAAAGTAACAAGTATTATAATAAACAATAAACTATTTATCTCCTTTTAAATATAATTCTAGAATGGTTGATGTATTTATATTCAGATATCTATATATACATATATATATATACGTCTATATAAACAGATATATAGTGTTCCAAGAGGAATTTTTACATATCTGCATATGGAGACATAGATATCCATTGCAATATTTTCTGCAGCAGTTTAATAACTAAACATTGTAACTAATGTTCATCAACAGATCAAATTTTATCATATCATAAAAATTGATAAAAATATTTTGGATATATCATAAGTGACATAAAATACCCTGCAATATAATATCTAAATTGTAAAAAATTATTAATTAAATGCATGTATAAGGTGTATTTACATAATCATCAAACTGAAAGAAGGTCATATAGAAATGATATCACTTTTATATTAATTCAGCAAAATTAGTAGGTGGTATGATTGGGAGAAACTTGAGTAGAGGAATGCAATTAATTAAAAAGGGGGCACAGTTCTTGTTACAATAATTTTATATGTAAAGCACTTAATTATAAAGTTCTTCATTAGGTCTTTTAATGAGTTTGATAGCAAAATATGAAAGAAAGAAATAACCCTCATGTCACAGTTGCTAAACTCTGGTGCTGAGTTGATGTTTTAGATCAGAAATGTGCCTATTAAGTATATTTCCCTTACTTTTGCTAAACCATTTTATGATGATGGTTGTTAACATTCTTTTTAGTCTATCTCTATAGAGACTGTCAAAAATTGCCAATGCCGACTATATTTCAAGTTATCAGGGCAGGGTATTGGGAAAAATTTTCAATTAGCAATAATCATGCCTCAGATAAACCTCATTGGCTACAATACTGCCACTGCACACAGCTATAGTTGTTAATTTTTTAACTAAATATATAAAAAATATTCAAATTAAAAAGCAAATTGCTGTGTTTTATTTTTCTATAGAAGTTTCAGAGTGAAATATACTTCTTCCTAGCTGTCTTGTTTGGAGGAGTATATCAATTGTTTTAAATGTGAATTCTAACTTTTTTGAATAGTAATGTCATTTCATTGATTTGTGACACCCCAGCAATTGCTAACATGCTTGGCTCGTGATAAGAGACATTTTGTGAATGAATATGAATATTTAAGCTGAAATAAAACTTTTGACCAGATCCAAGTCCATGGGTCTATTATTTTTGAAAATATGAGCAGATGGATAGAGGAGTTAAAATGAAGAACAGTCATTAGGATCACAATTCCTAGATTTGCATCCTAGCTCCAGTACCCTCTTCCTTTCATAATGAGTTCAAACTTTATGAGGTAAGTTTCACATCTATGAAAGTGGGATAATAAAACTAACCTAATAGGAAAGTTATCAAGATTATATGAGATATTTTAAGTGCTCAGAGCAGTGCCCTCATATGTTTATTATTGATATTATCTAGTTAATATTTGTCATTATTATCATTACTCGCCTATAAAACTTTGTACCTACTGTCAAATGTGCCTGTTTCTGTTTACCCAACCCACCTTTGGTAACATTGAATAATTACAAGGTGAGGAATTGAGCCAATCAGTTGATTCTTTTTTTTTTTAATTTTTATTAGGGAGACACCATGAGGTACACTTGTAGACTTACAAATTTTTGTGCTTGGGTTTCAATTATACAATGATCAAATACCCATCAGTTGATTCTTTTTAAGTCACATTTTAAAAGAAACTCAAGCATCAGCTTGGCCAACTTTTATAAACTGTCTCCTTCTCCTCCTCCTCCTCCTCCTCCTCCTCCTCCTCCTCCTCCTCCTCCTCCTCCTTCCTTCTCCTTCTCCTCTTCCTTCTTCTTCTGGTTTTTGGGCCACATCCAGTGTTGTTCAGGGATTACTCCTGGCTCTACATACAGGAATCACGCCTGGAAGGGCTCAGGGTACCATGTGGGATGCTGAGGATGAACCTGGGTTGGCACCATGCAAGGTAAACACTCTACCCACTGTACTATCTCTCCTGCTGAACTCTTTCTGAAATCATTAGTTGTATTTGCACTTTTTTGGAATAGAGTCTACTCCCAGCAATATGGCCTGATGGTTTGGTGCCTGGAACTGGTCCTCAGCAACTGCAGTTTGAGGGGCTCTTTCTGACAGGCTAGGATGTGCTCTAACTCTTGCACTATTTTACCTGCCCTTCGTAGGGCTTATATTGCAGAATTTATACCATTATTTATGGGAAATACAATTGCCAAGAAGTATTCTATTATCTCTGGTTTCTGGTATTTAGGAGAAAGAAAAATGTACATAGAGGATTTAAATTCTTTATTAATGTTTTTAGTTTTACAAATTCCTCTATTTTGAAAATAATTTGATCTAAAGAGTATCACTTTATAATTTTTCTCTGTTTCTTGATTATAATCAGTGCTTATAATGACACAACTTTCCCTTAAAAGGAAACTTCACACACAATTAAGCACTTGATGATTGATTTCCAATGATTTTTTTAATTTTTCTTTTTAAAGTATCTATCATTCTGTCATCAACTTCGGTCTGGTGTTTGATATTATTAATATGACATGTAGCTCCTCAAACTATCATAGACAATGCTCACTTTCTAGGATACTTTGTGGAAGCTGTTAAACATGAAAGAAAGTATGTTTTTTATGATTTTTCTCCTTTCATTTATTCATTCATTCATTCATCAGTATGACTTAACATTTGTTAAAGCATTCAGGAACTCTTAAAAACTTATGTGCATTTTTGTGGGAGGTGGAAACAGAGAGAGCCCTCAATCTCATGGGTTTTTCAGACCGATGGGGGAAACTCCCACAGAATGCAGAATGAAGAATAGCTGTCATAATACTCAATATCAATACAAAAGGGATTTTGTTTTTAGCACAGTTTTGCTTTGAGAGATCGCAATAGTCTGGACAGCTGATCAATGAGTAGTCTCGGCTATCTGAGGGTGGCAAGGAACTTGTTGTAGGCTGGAGAAACATTTACAAAAAGAAATAGAAAAATGAGTTAAGAATAGCAGGGAAGTGGCTGGATAGATGGTATAATGGGTAGGGAGCTTGGTGGCCAACCCTGATTTGAACTCTAGCAGCCAATATGGTTCCCTGAGCCTAGCCAGGAGTGATCTCTGAGTGAAAAGCCATGAGTAAGCCCTGAGCCCAACCAAAAACACACGCAAATTTTTCTTTTTTAGGAAAAAATGAATAGCTGGGGAACTTTAGGTTGAAAACATGTCATACTTCTCCAACCAAATTCAGTAGGCTGAACTCTACACTAGGGAAGGGTGGAAAAGCCACTGACCAGTTGTAAACAGTACCAGACACAGTCACAATGGAAGCACTGCCAAAATGTTGACATGCAGTATTAATAATTTAGTGTGAAGGAGTCTGGTAATTTCTTGGCAAAAATAATAATATTTTCCTCCGGCCAGAGAGATGGTACAGCAGGATGGGCATTTGCCTTGCAGACAGCCGACCCAGGTTTGATCCCCAGTGCCCACATTTGGTCCCCTGAGCCCACCAGGAATGATCACTGAGTGCAGAGCCAGGAATAAGCCCTGAGTATCACTGAGTATGGTCCCCAAACAAAAGTGAAACAAAAATAATAATGTTTACCATCTCTTCCTCTCCTTAAGATTTTAGCATTTTTCAGCATTGTTCACAATAACCAAAATCTGGAAACAACCCAAGTGCCCTAGAACAGATGACTGGTCAAAGAAACTTTGGTACGTCTACACAACGGAATACTATGCAGCTGTTAGGAGAGATAAAGTCATGAACTTTGCTTTATAAATGGATAGACATGGAGAGTATCATGCTATGGAAATGAGTCAGAAAGAGAGGGACAGACATAGAAGGACTGCACTCTTTTGTGGAGTATAAAACAACATAACATGAGGCTGACACCTAAGGGTAGTAGAGACATGGGACAGATAGATTGCTCCATAGCTGGAAGCCTGCCTCATGAGCAAAGGGGAGAAGGCAACTGGAATAGAGAAGGGATCACTAAGAAAAAGATGGCTGGAGGAACCGTTCGGGATGGGAGATGTGTGCTGGAAGTATATAAAGGACCAAACATGATAACCTTTCAGGGTCTGTGTTGAAAACCATAATGCCCAAAAGTAGAGAGAAATTTTGGGAAATAATGTCTGCCGTGGAGGCAGAGGGAGGGTGGGAAAGGGGGAGGGATATACTGGGGATATTGGTGGTAGGGAATGTGCACTGGTGGAAGGATGGGTGTTTGATCATTATGTGATTGTAACCCAAACATGAAAGCTTGTAACTATCTCATGGTGATTTAATAAAATTTTTAAAAAATTTAGCATTTTCCAAACCGGACATATGGCCCTCTGTGCACCTTCAGGTTATCCCAGGGTGACCACAGGTTAGAACAGCATAAATGGGGATATACAATGCGAGACTAGTAGCCCAATCATTAGGATGAGGAAGAGACCATAGGAAGGATAAAAGATGGTGAAAGACAATAGTCAAAAATAAAGAAAGAAATAAAAACTGAGACCTAAAGATCTAGTTAACAAAACAAATATCTGGGACATTTTTTTAACCTTTCCAGTAACTGACAGTGAAGTTCAACTAAGGTTGAGTCTGAATCAAGACTCAAATCTCAATTTTCTATCACAGGCCTTCTGAGATAATTTGATAATATGCCTACTACATATAGGGATGGAAAAACAGTATAGCAGGTAGGGTACTTGCATTACAACAGCCAGTGGGTTTGATCTCAAGCACTCCATATAGTTCCCAAATCCTCACAGTGATCCCTGAGCACAGAAATAGAAATAATCCCTTAGCACTGCTGAGTGTGGCCCACAAACCAAGAAGAAGAACAATAAAGGTGTCTAGTAAGCAGCAATTAAAAGGTTTCCCTGTTTTCCTCTTGGTGGTAGAAAAAGGGTACACTGGTAAAGGGATGGGTGTTGGAATATTGTATGACTGAAACCCAATTGTAAATTCTTTGTAACTGTTTATTTCATGGTGATTTAATAGAAGAAAGAAAGAAAGAAAGAAAGAAAGAAAGAAAGAAAGAAAGGAGGTAAACATTTCCTGTAAAAATAGGTTCCAAAGACTTCCCAAAAAAAGAGGGTTTTCCTCATATGGCAAATGTTAGTCCATTGCATGAAACCAGAAGAACATCTCGCCTCATAAACTTTTAAGTATTCAATTTCAGCTGTTTTAAAAAATCTCCTTTTCTTTCTCCTTCTCCCTACTCCAGTTTTTTTCTTGGATAACATCACCTATCTTACATTTCAAGTAAGATCATCCTGTACCTTTTAGGAAAATGGAAACTTTCCCAACAATCAAAACTAAATAATAGGTTAAATATTTGTACAGTGGATTCAAGGAGCACACTACTATATTTTAACTCCTTATTAATTATCTTTTGTCAAGGTTTATGACCTGTCTTATGCTATTAGACTGTAAGCCCTTAGATCAGGGGTTTAGTAGTAGCCCCTAGCCTATGCATAAAAGAACTCTGAATCAACATTTGTAAAATTAGAGAATAAAATAAAGAAAGGATCATAGTTCACAAATTTGATAAGGAATGTGGTCAATCTGTGTATTAGCAACTTAGTACACTCATGAGACTTCAGATTCTGCCATGTTAATTAGTTTAATATAGTCACATTTATTGCGCTTCAAATCTTTGTGGTGGTTAAATTTTCTTTAATGAAGTTTTATGAAAGTGAATGACTGGCTTGCAGCATAAATGAACAGCCAAAAAAGTTCTTTTTCTTTGTCAAAATATTGGGGGAAAATGACTAAGACATTTCATTCTTAAACTAGTATTGGATCTGAGTCTGAAACGCTGGAGAAAAAAGAAGTTATTTCTAAACAGCATTTGTTTTGTTTTATTTTGTATCTTGT